ACACGACACTACAGAAAGAATGTGGAAGAGAAATTCTCTACTGGCTAATTTCAGACCGAGATGCGATAAGATCATGTCAACCGTGAAGAGGACTAAGGCTAGCGACACGAAAAAAAGTGCATTTCTTGAAGCGGCCGCTGCGCATGGGCCGCTTAACTATAAACTGCAGATGGAACACTACTACACCAACTCCGCGTTATGGCCATTTAATACCTTACTAAATCTACTTAATGAATCTTTAAATTTTTACTTCAGGTTTCGGTCCAAGTATATTCAGAGGAGCAAATAATGGAAACATTTCTCTCCAAACTCGATATGGAACTTTTAGAGGTAGCGCGGAGGGAAACAAAGTCAGTTCTTCGAAACAGAGGATACCCTGGTTTGACTTCCTTCAAGTTTGAAGAGATCCTATCAGAAATGCAAAGCCCTGTCCCACAGTCTTTAAAATCCTAACCTTGATGATGCAGCTCGATCTCATAGAAATGCTACTATTGCACTTTAAGGCGCTGCCAGGCTTCAATGCTTATGCCATAGAAATGCTCATTAGTATTGTTCAAAATGAAGTTTTCTTATCAGAAGCTGAGGCCCACCAGTGCATGTGGGCATCCACAGCAAATTGGAATGGTCGTGCCAGTAAAAACATTGAAATCGACCTGCTTCAAGAAATCAGGAACAAATCCATCAAGAAATCCATCAAAACAATGGGCCCTAATAAAACAAACAAGGCAATTGAGAATGCTAGCCGAGCTTCTGGAGGGCAACACAAAATCACTGAAAACTTTGATGTTCAGGTCAACAGAGTGAAACCTTCATCATCTCACAGCCACAGTTCTGCAGCTGCAGATGAAAGCACAGCATTGAAAGATCTACGTGTTGTGAAGCCATTTACCAATGAGCCCAACAGAATGTATGATTCTTTCCCTGATATACAGCCTGACCCCTATCGATAGCAGAAACGAACTGTATTGGAAATAAACGCCTAAACTCAACACAGATTACAACAATGGCGGCTTTCGAAGTGAAACTTATGCAAGAGTGTCTGACCTCGTGGTCACGAGCGCATGACATGACGTTATGAAACCGCTGACCGCGTGAACTATAGTAATAATATGAAAAATACAACAATATTCAACTGTTCCTATTAAACTGTTCAGAGTACTATTCGGAATACTCTTCGACATCCTCCGGGGGGGGGGGGGGGGGGGGGGGCGAGAAGCATTCGCGCCCATTCTGAGATTTTCCTCAATGCTTCAGAGGCCGTGGCTCTTCTAGGTCTGTTCTGTCTTGAAGATGCAACTGCAGTGGCTTGTTGATTGGTATCATTGTCCCTCGGTGGGTTCTCTTGATCTGTCGCGTTTGTTGATACCTCCAGTGGATAAAGTTTAGTGATTGGTCTGTTTGTGCAGCCAGTTTTCGTACGGATGTTTGCGGCCCGAACCAAGCCATCTCCTCCCTTGATCAGACTTTCAATGACGGCCAACTTCCAGGTTGATCAGGGGCTATCATCGTGAACTAACACTACTTCTCCTTTCCAGATGGACTGCCTATTGGTTCCGGTCGTACGATGGAATTCACGCAAAGAGGTGAGATACTCATGTCTCCATCTGCTCCAGAAACGTTGGAGGATGAGTGCTTGCATCTCCACTCGTCGCCTCATGTCCGAATCATCTCCAAAGTCAGGATCAGCTAGGTCATCATCAGTGATGTGGTAGTCATAGGGTAGTGAAGTGATTCTCCTCACATACAGAAGATGTGAAGGTGTTAACGGTTCTTCATCTCCAATGTCGCTTGACACAAATGCGATAGGTCGGTCATTTAGGATGGCTTCTACTTCAACAATGAGCGTTTGGAGTTCAGTTAGCGTGATGGATGCTCTACCAAGCGTCTTTCTTATGGCCCTCTTTGTTAGTCCAACAAGACGTTCCCAAAATCCTCCATACCAGGGAGCACGCTTGGGAATGAATTTCCACTCGACCCCTTGTCTGCTGAATATCTCCTTTAGTGAGGGAGATTGGAATAGTTCACTGAGTGTTCCTGCTGAGGCTAGATAGGTGGAAGCATTGTCAGATACCATGAGAAGTGGCAAGGATTTGCGGCTTGAGAAGCGACGGAAGGCTTGAAGGAAGCTTTGCTCTGTTAAGTCTGAAACAACTTCCAAATGTACTGCCCTTGATACAGCACAGGCGAAGAGACAAATGTAGCTCTTGCTCTCACCACTCTCTGATCTTACATATAATGGTCCAGCAAAATGCACTCCGGTTACTGCGAAGGGTGCTGCTTCTTGAACTCTCAACTTGGGCAAAGGAGCAGGATCTGGGGCTCTGAAGGCTGTTCCTTCTAACTTCCGACATCTCACACAGCGAGAGGAGGAGGCTGGGCGGGGTGTTGTTAATAACAAGAACTCCTAAAGTAGTTTACAAGCGGCCGATTACCTTAATAATGGGGGAAACAACAATCGATCTCTCCTCCCCGACTCCCCCTCGGTCACTGTACTCTGAGGTGCACCCCTAAAATGAGCGAGAGTCAGCATACGAACATGCGTGACGAGAAATATAAATATAAGAAATATAAAATTAACTTTCGTTACTTCGTGACACGGACCCTCCATTTCCTGCTCTGTAGTGGCTCTTCTCGAGTAGTTGAGGTTATTTTCCCTTGTCTAATTAAATATTTCGCTCGTTTCTTTACATGAAAAGAGCTCTTACACGACACGAAAACTATCCGCGGTCACTGGACTCTGAGGTGCACCCTCCAAATCCTAAGAGTCAACACACGAACCTGCGTGACGAAAAACGTGACTGCCTGATGTAATATATTGCATCATGCTCCGGAAGCCGGAGAAATTCTCTTGTGGTTAATTTTAGCTAATGTAGATTGCATCATATTCGACGTGGGCAAAGATATGTTTTCGCTCAACGTGAAAATAAATTGTGAATGACATATATGCTGTGGAATTGTGTTAAGAAAAACTGTTATGTTTTTGGGACCGGGTTTTATCGTTCGTTTACTGGTTGAGGTGCATGTATTAAACAGAACAGAAATTCTCTTGTGGCTATTTATTTGCATGTCTCCTGGCTACGTTTACAATGTAACGGGGAAACCCCTCACACGCAAAGGTCACACCGCCAAATTTAGCACATTTTGCAACAACACCACTGTTCACTGCTATGGGACATTTGTCTTTGCTTTTCCAATGCGATTACTGTAATAAACTAAATACATCTACGCACTTACACGACACTACAGAAAGAATGTGGAAGAGAAATTCTCTACTGGCTAATTTCAGACCGAGATGCGATAAGATCATGTCAACCGTGAAGAGGACTAAGGCTAGCGACACGAAAAAAAAAGGTGCATTTCTTGAAGTGGCCGCTGCGCATGGGCCGCTTAATTAGTCTGGTATGTTAATAATTAACCACCTAAATAAAAAATGCCTGTTTTCTTGACTTGGAATGCAGCAATTTATTCAAGGGACAATCAAAATTAATGCATGATTTAAACTTGCAACTGAGCAATCTTGACTTGTCACTTGTAGATTACTGCTGTAAGAGCCTGTCATTAGGTAATTACAGTACAGTACAAATACAGTGCACACCCCTTTTTATTTTGAAATGCAGGCATAAACTGGAACAACAACTGGTTACAAAATATTACTGTAAAAATGCACTCTTCATGAACAATAACGGACTGATGAAATACACTTGAGATTGATTAATAATAAATAATAGTTAGTTAATATACTGTAAAAGAGACCAAAGGGCTGCTCAAAAGGAGGTGTTCAACCACTCAGTTAAAGCTCATGTAGTAACCCTATCGCTAATCAGTGTAACTATACAGCTTACCTGCCTAAGGGCAGCTAGCTGCTGTAGAATCATTTCCTGGCGTGCTGTCGGTAAGCGGTCTGGGGAGGCCTAAACAAAGTTTGCAATACTGATTAAGGCTTCCTGTTTCAGCTCTAATTACTCCAATGTACTCTTACCTTTTATTATCGCGAGGACTGCACTTTGAACAGAGAGGGCAAAATGGAGTACTAAAATTTAATGATTATTTTATAGATAAAACATAAACAGAACAGATATGAGGTAACCAAGAGCTGGCAAATAGGAAAAAACTTAAACAAACAGCAAAAAAAGGAAATTAATCATTAACAGTTAATGTCAACAGAAGCTTATCACCTAGCAGCTGTTAAGCCTGGTTTCATATGTCGGGAAAATCCCAGACCGCCGGGGATTTTGCTATTTCCCGACCATCCCAGACATTCCCGACTTATGAAAACACGATGAGGTAGACGACTCCCATTGTTTCCCTGAGTCGGGAATGTCTGGGACAGTCGGGAAATAACAAAATCTCCGATGGTCTGGGATTTTCCTCGTGCAAATGTCTCGTGTTTCCTTGCTTCCGCGTGAAGCAAGGAAACACGAGATATCTGCACGCAGGCCAGGATTTTCCCGACATATGAAAACCAGGCTTTAATGATTACGTTTCTTTGACTACGTTTCATAGTTATATGTGAATATAATACAGCGCAACCCCGTTAATACAAACACCTACAGGCCAAAAAAGCTGGCCGTAATAACGGGGTGGCCGTAATACGGGGTAATTGTCGGGTCATTGTAAATGTACAACAAAAGCGACTGAACGAGCACTAAAGGCAACTGAACCAATTTACAAGAAGATCCGAAAAATGCAAATTCAGCAAAACAATGAAAACCTGCTCATACGGAGTCATTGTGTCAATGATTTGCAATATTCAATCCATCGCCAAGTTTGTGGCCGCAATGCGGGGTAAAATTACAAAGAAAATAGGCACACGGGGATCTAAAAACCTGGCCGTGGGCCGTATTACGAGGTGGCCATATTAAAGGGGATTTTATACAAGAGATTACATGTAAGTGCGATTCCGCCAGGCCAAAAAGAGGTGGCTGTAATAACAAGGTGGCTGTAAGGCGGGGTTCCACTGTAGTTATATTATTATAGTTATATGGCCTAGCTCCCACAAGTCTCCTGTAGCTCAGTGGTAGAGCGTCTGAACGTTGTCCGGAAGGTCATAAATTTGACTCCTGTTGGGAGAACTCTCAATTTTTTTCCGAGTAGCTTGTGTTACTGACTGATAAAACACCTTTCTCATATTTCTACCAAGCTTAAAATTCACCATCATTTCTTTTAACCGTTACAAATACTGAACTGTGAAACAACTTTCATATTTAATTTGTTACTAACTCTTGAGGAGGGAAATCACTAAAGTTACGTTGTCGCTACAATAATGTACCTTAAGGTAATTGGATAAAAAAAATATAAAGGAAAAGTTTTCAGAAATTCCCACCTGCGCTGGATACACACGAGGGTGTTCTTCTTGCATTTTTGCTTTGTCGTGTTTAACCTTCCGCATTTCAGCCGTCTTAGAAACAACGTTCTTTTTAGAATCTTGTTTAGCCATTCCTTGTCTACCTGTCAGACCACTTGTTGCAGTTTTTTCTATCATATTGTCCTTTCTAACAGTGTGCCTACCAAATGCAGGTTGGTTAGTTGTTCGGTATGCTGGAGGGATCACCACGGATTGTGGTTTCTTTAGTGTTGGTTTATTTACAGTAGTCAGATCAGCTTTCGGGTGTGATGAGGGAGTATCTGGCACAGCATGGAATGTAGCACTTGTGGTCCTGGTGTAAGGTATCATAAAGCCATCTTGCAGGGGAGGGGGAACTGGTGACATGTTCTCTGCTTCCTTGTTAGGATGACTCTCATGGCCATGGTTTATGTTTTCCAAGGAAGCCTGTCGCTTGTTTCGTTGTTTGAATGTTTGTTTCTTTCTCTGACTTCTCTCTGACTGTGACCGTGTTGTGGTGTGGCCTGTATCTTTGCCAGGAGAAGATTTCAAGCGAGACTTCGCTTGAGAATTGTTCCTTACGGAAGCAACGGGAGATGAAGTTGTCCATTCTGATTCAAGTGACGCATTTAAACTGATTTCTTTTAATTCCGATTCAAATGAAGCATTATTTTGGCGTGTCAAGGAACTGACTATGCCATCTGTTTCCTTGTGTTGCGTTATTCTCGGACTAGACAATTCTGCTTCTTTATTATGAGGTGAAGTATCTGCAGCTGTATGCTGTTGTACTATAGCAAGGCCAGCTTCAAAGATAAAGAGAACAGCTTCACTATTAACACCCACCACTACTAAAGAAACAATTTTGAAAACAAACTCGACAACACTCAAAAATAATCTTCAGTCGTTACATTAGAACGTTAAATTAACTGCTTGTTCATTCCTTTCTTGCTGTTTGAACGTATGGATCACGATGGAGATACTATCAGCACGAGAAGATAAAATTTGTATCCCCCAGCAGCCATGTAATGTTCTGTTTATTACAAAGATACTGATGAAATGTCCAGATACAGTACAGTTTCTTATTCATTTTCAAAACAGTGAAAAAGTGGTGAGCTAAACTGAGCCCAAGTTTGCAAAATATGTTGTGACAACTAATGAAACGCATAGACAAAGTACGTTTTATCGCCATAAAATGTTAGTTATTGTTCCAAAAAAGTTAAATTGAGCTTCAAAAAATTTAATAAAGAAGAAATAAATGGGAAGCTCTATTGTTATTGGCTGATCATGTCAGTAACCATAACGACATCAAGATCCTCACATGTGAAAGATAAAAATAGTATCTTCACTTCGCATGATGAAGATATCATTTATAGTAACAGGAAAAATCCTGGTATTTCATCATTATATAGTATCTATATAATGAAAAGTGATATACTTTACATACGGGATTTCAATCCAGTTACATCATGGCCACCTAACTCCAAATGCTTTATCCTTTTTGCAGCTTTTTCCTTACAAAACCAAACAAAATAAAATTCATTATTATCCAGCTCTCGCTGATCTTCAGTGAGATCAGATGTCAGCATGTAAATGAGTCTATGCCGCACCCACCCACCCAACCCATGAATACATGTGAACCACAACACGGGGGACTACATCCTTACTATTTAGCACTAACTCTTAGATGTTGTTTCACAGGTTAAATAAAATCACTTTAACGTCACCGCCTAGTAATGACGCGATCATCTGAACTGAGACAATTAGGTATTAAGCACAGTCAGGACCCTGGTTAGTGGTCCGGCTGGGATTCGAGCCCTACTAACTGAGCTAACCACATACACTCCCCTAATATGTTCAAAAAAGCTCTTTTGAGGCTTATGTTTGGAGGGGAAGGAGTTTACAATTATTGGCGGGAATTTTGCATCTCAAAAAGGAATGGGATTATATTTGGATGAGAATTTGTATCAAGTTGAAAAATAAGAATACTGTAGTACAATAAGTTGTGAAATGAAATTAAAAAACCCTTGAAATACAAAACAAGCTGGAAAGAAATAATAACGAAAGAGAATGAGATCTTCGCAGTTATTATCAACTTCAGGGTTCAAAATTTATTTTTGTGTCTAGTTGTCCCTGGGGCAACCACAGGACTTGGTTGGTTGCCCCCATCCTCGTTCCCAGAGCTCCTCGTTTTTTTCTTTGCGCCGGAAACGAGTAGCCCTGGTCGCAAGGAAAAAATCGAATTTTTTCATTGGCTGATAAAAAATGAATGCGCAACACGAATTAATGAATGGATGTCCGGAATTTTCAGACATCCGGTCACGGCTGAGACCAGAGCCTCCGTTTCGCCAACCACGTGACCAAAAGAAACAGAGGATCTGGGAACGAGAATGGGTTGCCCCAAGAATATTTTGGTTGCCCAGTCCCTCGACCCTGTACAAGCCAAGACACGTTATCACATGTAGCGTAAGCTGCCCATTAACATAAATTTTTGATTTATTTGTTGGATTTAAATTTAAATTTCAATAAACTATAATCATTCAAATTACCAAGAATTATTCCATATAGAAATATCAACTATACAGTATACATAAAGTGTAGGACAACTGCTCACTGCTCTCTACTCTTGAAATGCACGAAATCATTTCTTTAAACTTGAATCAGAGATTGCGACTGCTGTACTGGGTGAACTATCCTATGTGATCGTCGGAGAGATTCTCTGTTTCACATGCGTTTCCCGATTAAAGTACCGTAAAAGGCTCATAATAGCTACATGGTGAACAAATCGCACTGCAATGCATCGTGGATCTTATTTGGTGATACCGCTTACCACGGTTAAAAGTATTACAGGCTCGCATTGACTAAACATGGCGGAAGAAATCACGAATGAAGAATTCAGGAGAGAAAAGTTTAACAGCTACTATATTTAACTTTTTTTCCATGGATTTAATTTTACTGTCTACTACCTTTTATGTTTTCTTTACTCTTCAAAGACAGATCGGCAGATGGCAGATCGGGTTGCCCAAGGGGCAACCACTCGGTGAGATTTGGTTGCCCCAGCATACGTTTTGGTTGTCCGAGACAACCTAGTCTCCTATGCAGCCGTTATTTGTGTCGTCATCGAACGCTTCTCCCCACTAACGGCTGCTCAAACCTGGACCACATTCCTTTGCAGATTTAAGCCAATCACAGTTGCAGTGCCATTTTCGGAACTTGCTCGCGCCCAAATACACCAATCATAGATTGTGTCTTAGCGTCGGAAACGTCAAACGCACGCTGTAGTATCTTTAGGGGCCACTAAGGCCAACAACTCGAGCAACACTCAATCGCCGTCAACACACAGTTATATGCACACTAGTCCCTCACTTGCTTGGTCACGTGACCCATCGTTTCCCGCGCTAAGGGAATCCCAGATGTCCACACGAACACTACATCCTTCTCTTTCTCCACTTATACATGTACAGTAAACTCTTAAACAGACAACATAAATAATGTCAATACTTTTGTAAACGCAGTACGATCAAAGTTACTACTGTCACTAATAAAATCTCTCGGGGGGGTCGTGTGACTCTCCCTGACCTCCTTGGTAATGGCTGTGGCTGTGGCTGTGGCTGGATCGGACTCTGATCCTCAACTGGCTGAATTGAACTCGGATGCTCAATTGCGCTCATCTCCGGACTGGGACTGGGTGTAGTTTGTCCATGCTCACGTGGTACATGTACCACTACAGGATCTGGAATAGCTGGAGTCACGAACTGCTTGACATGCTGGACGTTTCGCTTATAATCCACACCTTGTGCTGACTTCAACTGGACCTGATCTCCATAACGTGCTGTCACCTGATATGGCTCTTTCTCGCAGTGTGGCGATAACTTATTCTCCTTCCTCTTCTCCAGTAATACAATATCTCCCTCTTGTGTATACTTCTCCGCTGCCTGGTGCCTCTTGTCAGCATGATCTGCACCAATTTGCTTTTTCTCTGCATCGCGATCTCTGGTTTGCTGATGTCCCGGCTCCTCAGATTCATACAAGTCAGCAACTTCTGGTAATTTAGTGGTCATTTTCCTCTCGTACAGTAATTCTGCTGGGCTCTTGCCAGTAGTCATGTGCGGAGTGGAACGATAGTACCCCGGACAGAACAATTGAGGATTGGGTTAAATGATAATAATTTTTAAATGCTAAACCTTAATGCCATGAAAAACGGCAACAAAACCGAAAAGGAAATTCCACACATGGAAATTTTTTTAAAGACCACAAAAAAGCATGTAAACATGAGCGGCTGTGTCAGTCTTGTCACGCTCGTGCAATGTTTATATACATGAACCAAACCTTGGTGGGCCGCCACTTCCAGACATAGTTCCTCTTTGTGCTATTTTATATGGGATTGTCTTGGTAGAGCTGGGATATACAACAGCAGCATTACAATCCTGAGATCCAAGAACGATTTCACCAGCGTATTAAGGTGCAAATGGTGACGTTTCTACCCAAGAGAAACGAATCGGAAGGCAACCCAACTGAGCTTTTTTCAGGTAATGTCCAGGCTAACGTGAAAATGCATGGAGGGCTCCAGCAGATGAATAAGGTTCACAAGACTTCTACTACGAAGCACAGCAAGCATTGTCATATGCTCTTGGCCAGCTGCAATTCAAATTAAAGCCTTCCATTCGGTGGTATGGTGCTCCAGCTACTGGCCGCCATCTTACGAGTCGATGGAAAGAACAACCGTATGGCAAAAGAGTCTTCAGACGGCGA